GGCAGGAAAGACATGGACAGATTGACTGGCAGGAGGCAGAGGCTTGGCTTTGCAGTTCATCAGAACTGGGCTGGAACACCTAGGTCTAACTAACAGTGGTGTGGTATGGGTGAAATCTTGAAAAACTTTCCTGGGCTGGTCTGAAGAAGGTCCAGTCACTCTTATTACATAGAGAAACCTAAGGTTCAAAAAAGGTGCTGTAACATTGCCTAAGTCTTCCAAGAGACAGCACTCACTTGCAAAGCCTTATTCATGCTCTCACTTAAGAGGTGGGCCTTCTGTGCTTGCTGCAACTGTAGCTGTAGCTGAGCCACCTCCTGCATGGAGCCTGCAAGAGAGCCATAGAATAGGTTGTTGTGGAATATTAATTTAAGATGTGTCACATCTGTTTATTCTGTGGAACATTTGTTTTAATGATGCAAAGATGTATTGCATTCTTTTAAGTTGCATTTGTTTAACTCTATGAAGCTGTGTTACTGTGCCTGTCTAAAACACCTAATTGGTTTAATAAAGAGCTGAACAGCCAATAGCAAGGCAAGAGAAAGGATAGGCAGGACTAACAGGCAGAGAATAAATAGGAGGAGAAATCTAGAAAGAAAAGATCATGGAGCGAGAAGAGAAGGAGAGGAGGACATCGGGGCCAGCCACTCAGCTATATAGCCAACCACGGAATAAGAAGTAAAGAAAGGTATATAGAATAGAGAAAGATAAAAGCCCAGAGGCAAAAGTAGATGAGATAATTTAAGAAAAGCTGGCTAGAAACAAGCCAAGCTAAGGTCAGGCATTCATAAGTAAGAATAAACCTCTGTGTGATTTATTTGGGAGCTGGGTGGTGGACCCTCTAAAGAGGAAGAGCCAAAGAGCCAAAGAGTGAGAGTAAAAAAAAAAAAAAAAACCAACAACAATGTGTAACTGGAAGGAGACAAAGCACCACATCTACAAACCCAGGACCCACCGAGGCTTGAGGTGGAGTCTGCTTCACTGTTGACTTTAGAGCCATGTAGACAGGGAGCCATGGGAGACCTCAGAGACCTAAATCTAGTCCACGTGTTTCTCAGATTTATACTCAGGAGCTCAGGGCCTGGGCAACTGGAACATCGGACCCTGTGAGCCCAATCAGCCACAAGCAGTTGTGAGCCCCATGGGTGCTGTGGACTGGACCCTTGTCCTCTGCAGGAGCAGGAAGTGCTCTTCACCTCTGAGCCATTTCTCCAGCCCCAACAAACTAATACTCTAAATGTACTCGGAGAGATTCTAGTGCAGAGGGCCATTTGAGGGTTTCCTTAAATGAAAACAGGCCTCTCAGAAATAACTGAGGGAAGCCAGGCGGCGGTGGCAGCGCTCGCTCGCCTTTAATCCCAGCACTCAGGAGGCAGAGCCAGGTGGATCTCTGTGAGTTCAAGGCCAGCCTGGTCTACAGAGCGAGATCCAGGACAGGCTCCAAAACCCTGTCTTGAAAAATAAAAATAAATAAATAAATAAAAATAAAAAAGGGAAGGAAAGAAAATCCTACCTTCAAAGCCTTTAATAGCCAAGGAAAAGACTCACCAGGTCATGGCAAGGACAAATGGGTCTGTAGCCAGGCAGGGCTGGAGGAGAGCCTAAACAGGAAGGGTCCAAATCTGGTCCCTCAGCAAACACACATCCATAGGCAGCCTTTCCCTTTAGTACGTTCACAGTGTGATTAAACTCCTACACACTGTGCCCATCGTCTAACTAGTTCACATGCCGAAATGTGACTTGTACCTTAGTTAAAAAAATTGATTTTGTCAACCAGAAATTAGGATGATTTAGTCTGTTCAACAGTCTGCGCATCAACATTGACATTTAATTGCCTTTAACATCTTATAAAAATAATAATTAAAAGTATCACTACCATGAAAAGCATCAGAAGCATGTCTCAAGTACCACAGAGGCCACACTAGAAATCTTAAGAGTGACAAAAATGTAACTCACTGTCCATGTAAGGACACGATGGGGGGATGAAAAACTGAAGGTAAACAAAATGACAACTATTTAATCAAATACTAGGTATAAAATGGCAAATACAGTGAGATCTTATCATCAAAGGTGGCTGGGACAGAACCTCGTCTTTGGGAGCAGAGCCCTGCCTGGCATGTGTGGTCCTTTCCTCCGCAGGAAGCAGGTTCAGGCATCACAGCCCAGGTTTCTCAGAGGAAGAGTGCTGGCGATTTTTATTTGGAATGTACACTTGTTTGGATTTTCCAGACTGTGTAACAGAAACAAACCCTTCAATAGGAACTGCACATATACTCCTCCCTAAAGGAATCTGTCACTTGTGGACTTCTGTCTCCTCTGGCTTTGTATAGTTTGGGATCTGGGCTGGTGAGACGGCTCAGTGGGGGAAAGCTCTTGAAATTCGTGTCATGAAGAGGTGGCGAGACAACCTGAGTGTGAGTTCCAGACCATGAAGGTTGTCCTCTGTCCTACAACCATGGCATGCAGCACAAGCCCACACACCCACACACATGATAACAGGAATCCAGCTACATTCTGTACTGTTGTGGAATATTCCTTTACACTGTGTGAAGATGTGTCACTGTGATTAGTTTAATAAGGAGCTGAATGGCCATTAGCTAGGCAGGAAGAGATTAGGCAGGACTTCTGGGGACAGAGAGATTTCAGAGAGGAAGAAAGGCGGAGTCGCCAGCCAGATGTGAAAGACATAGGATGGGCAGTACAGAGTGAAGGTAACCGAGCCACGTAGAAGAATGTAGATTACAAAATATGGGCTAATTTAAGTTGTAAGAACTAGCTGACAACAAGCCTAAGCTAAGGTCAAGCTTTCATAATTAATAAGAAGCCTCCATGTCATTGTTTGTGAGCTGGTGGTCCTGAAGAAAAAGTTCGTTTTCACTGTACACGTACCCCATTGCCTCTGTGGGACCCTCCACAAGACACGCACCTGACTGCAGCAGGTGGGCACACTGCTTCTGACTGTCCTCTAGACTTCTCGTCAGCCTGTTAATGAGCTCCGTCTTCTCTAATTTGACAGCCTCTTGACTCCTCTCCAGCTGCTGCACGTGATCCTTTAACCGAGCGCAAACGCTTTCCTAAATGGAAGTCAACAAGTCATTTTCACAATCAGTTTTAGTAGAAATTAAAGTGTCCAACGTCAAATCATCACCTGGTAGTGTGATCTCTTGTACAGGGTTAACCTGTTCACATGTGACCTGGGGGGAGGCCCGGCTAACAAAGGACACCTGTAAGATACTGTTATTCTAAAGTCAGATTTTACTCATGCCAAAGGAAGTATATTACAGTCCTGTTTGCATTTTATGCTGTGTTAATTAATATATACAAATGCAGGCAAACCACTTTGAGTCACAGAATCCATATCCTCAGACAAGGAAACACATGAACACATGGAAACTCCATTCTGAGCAGCCAAAGGCTCATTCTGTTCAGGGCAGCCAAAAATAATCTGTCCCTCCTCCAAGTTTCTGTTCAATTTGACCTGTTTCTCTTATATTCCTCTTTCTACCTTTTACACATCTTATTTCCCTTGTCTCCTGAAGGCATCTCTTCAGCATGTTATGCATACCAGGCATTATAATGAATACTTGAAAAATTAATGACAAAAAAAAGACATGGTAATTGTTGTGTGACTGTATGAGGATATATAAAAAATACACACTGTGGGACAAGGATCTGTGTTGCCTACATACATACATGGAGAGGGAAAGGTACTGTGCCAATATTTCTCCACAAAGAAAACATATTTGGAAATAAGAAAGCATGGGAATTTGAAGAAACCATCACTGTAACAATCATCACTTCCCACCTAAAAGCCACTTGGGCTGAATGTCAATCAAAGCACGGATGAGGCAGGAGAATCACTGGAGCAGCAACCGTCTTAAGCTTCCTGAGAAGCCCGAAGAAAACCATTAGCAAGAGCTCTGAAGTAAGAACACGTGGGCCTTTGGTACCAGATTCCCTAGCACAGCCTAAACCTCAGCCACGCTCTCGACATGAATACAGGGATGCCCAAAATGCAAAAGATCTGGGCGTGTCCCCATGCAAAGGAAGGGGCTCTCTCTGAAGGCTCTCGCTTTGCTTTAAAATCCTGTGAATTTTCTATGTCATACTGCAGCTGTGTTTGCTTTAAATTTTTTCTACCAAATTTTTAGCAAAATGAAGCTTCTGGAAAGCAGTCCCTGTTTATTTAGTGCTGCAAACTTCTTGGCATGCTGCTGCTGTTTCCCAGACCAGCTTGGGAAGCACAGCTCTAAGGAGCTAGTATAACATGGCTGACGCACTATGGAGCTATCAGGAATGCAGTACAAATGCTTGTCGTGCAAGGGTGGCGAGACACTCCAGGTGCCAGTCTAGAGGTCCCAACAGTTTTGAATTGTTACAATGTTGTATATACAGTCTTTTCTACATTGAAAATCTGATGTCTAAGGAATGCATTAAGTTAATAATATGCTATAACCATGTATTTCTCAAATCGCACTAGGTACACAGACATTCAAAAAGCTCTGCTGTGTCAGAGAGTCGCGCCTCCCATTACATGCAATTAGCAGTCTCTGTGTGGAATTCTCTTTCAAAATACAACTAATACCCATCCGTGATTTAAAAGAAAAATAAGTCTTAAGAACTTTCTCAATTTTTCTTTAAAAGGAGAAAGAATCTAAATCTAGCATATTTAACAGGAAAACCTGAAGCTTTCCCACAAAGATGAGGACTAGGGAAGGGATGTCCCTTCATGCCTTTGAGCAGCATGTTGGAAGCTCTTGCCAATGAACTACAGTAAGAAAATGAAACAGAAAGAATACAAATTACAGAGAACAGAGTAAGTCTCTCTTTGTCTATCATTGACATAATCTGCTACACAGAAAATCGGAAGGAGGAAACCTACTAAAACTATAAGCAATTGCACATGAGCTGCGTGCGGTGTGAGCTAATAGGGGAAATCACCCTCCCGCACACCACAACACACAAGTAGAACTTGAAATTTAAAAAAGCCATGTCATTTACGCCACTCCAAAATGAGGGTCTTTAGTAGAAACGTAAAACATAAGATCTAGTTGGACAAAACTACAACACTGAAGAAATCAATAAAGACCTATATAACTGTAACAGTACTCTGTTTACAATGGGAACACTCGGGATCATCAAGATGCCACTTGCTCCCAAAGAGACCTACAGAGTCTGTGTACTCTCAGCATACCAGCAAGCTACTTTGTGGGTGTCAACAAACTGAGTATCTTAAGTTTATATGAGGGGTTCCACACATCGCCACTACAGTGGGAGCACATTGAGAATGAAGGAACACCAATCACAGAGGGCAGGAGGTGAAATCATGGGAAATTCTTTATCTTTCTCTCACTTCTGGTGTAAACCTGCCTTTTGTAGCACTCTTCCAAAGGAATACCAACTGGATTATAAAAATACAGATTGGTACAAGTACTTTGACTCCTTATTACAAATACTGCGGAGCCAATTGATAACACGTTTAAAGGGGATACCATAAAAAAACACCCCAGGTTGGAGATAAGTCACAGCAAATACAGCTCAGGTTTAGAATCTAAAGTCCACTCGGCACAGACCAAGGTTCGGTTCTATCTTCAGTCTGAGGTCCCTCTTCTCAAGTGGTGATGGCAGGCATGGGGACAGATGAAGAGGCCAGAGGCACAGGCTCCAACTCCTTCGCTGTCCTGCGATAACACAGACTGGAGGAGACTGGTGGTACTAGAGCGGGAAGGTCCAGGGAGGGTGTCCTGAGAGCCGTTTTCGGGCCTGCCACATCTGTACCAACCATTCCTACAAGAAAGGGTTCCAAACACACCAGGAATTCCTCCCAGCCCTCCCAGTGAGACAGTGTCAAGGCAGCGGAGGCAAAGCTCGCCAAACACTCCACAGGAGCTGACAGATTGCCATTTTCCTAAATCTACCACCACCAACCGCCGTAATACCACTGTGTATGATATCAAGGGCAACATGAATAAATAAACATTTTAAAGCAAAGTAAGAACTATCTTCTAACTATATAGAAGGTCACTGAGACGTATAGACTTTGAGTCTACTTAATTTTGGTGTGTGTTTTTTTATAATAAAGTTTATTTAAAAATTAGATAAATAAAAATTCCTTAGACAATTGCCAAAAAAAGGTAAAATAGCAAAAAAAAAAAAAAAACTGTACCCCAAACTCTAGTTAATTTCTATAAAGCAGACTCTTCAATGGTTGGGCATAGCCTTTATCTTTTTCCATCCCTAGAAACCATTATGATCAAATTCACAACAGTTTTTATGTAAAAGAGAAAAAATAATTAATAAATTGAACAAAACACATAAATAACATAAAAAGAAAATGGACTGGGGATGAGTTGGAAGAATGTTGGCCAAACATGCACCAAACACGAAGCATAGTGCATGCCCCATAACCCAGAGTCACACTAACAGAGCATGGTGGAGCATGCCCCATAACCCAGAATCACACTAACAGAGCATGGTGGTGCATGCCCACAACCCAGCATCACTCTAACAGAGCATGGTGGTGCATGCCCCATAACCCAGAGTCACACTAACAGAGCATGGTGGAGCATGCCCATAACCCAGAGTCACACTAACAGAGCATGGTGGTGCATGCCCATAACCCAGAGTCACACTAACAGAGCATGGTGGTGCATGCCCATAACCCAGAATCACACTAACAGAACATGGTGGTACATGCCCCATAACCCAGAGTCACACTAACAGAGCATGGTGGTGCATGCCCCACAACCCAGAGTCACACTAACAGAACATGGTGGTGCATGCCCACAACCCAGAGTCACACTAACAGAGCATGGTGGTACATGCCCCATAACCTAGAATCACACTAACAGAACATGGTGGTGCATGCCCCATAACCCAGCATCACACTAACAGAACATGGTGGTGCATGCCCATAACCCAGAGTCACACTAACAGAGCATGGTGGTGCATGCCCACAACCCAGAGTCACACTAACAGAACATGGTGGTACATGCCCCATAACCCAGCATCACACTAACAGAACATGGTGGTGCATGCCCATAACCCAGCATCACACTAACAGAACATGGTGGTGCATGCCCATAACCCAGAGTCACACTAACAGAACATGGTGGTACATGCCCACAACCCAGAGTCACACTAACAGAGCATGGTGGTGCATGCCCATAACCCAGAGTCACACTAACAGAGCATGGTGGTGCATGCCCCATAACCCAGCACTCAGGAAGCAAAGTCAGGAGGATCCAAAGTTCAAAGTCACGGTTAGCTACTTAGCAAGTTTGAGGACAGCTTGGGCTACGGAAGACTAGGTCATAAAGCAATATATATAAAATAGAAACAATAATGAAGTAAAATGTCACACAATTATTCTGCCATAC